TCCTCGATGGCAATCACCCCGCAACGCGGTTGTTAATCATAAATTACCATCGACGTTTCTACCATGCAAATCATGAAACGCTAATAAATGAAATAAAACAAAAATATAACGTGCTCGGTTTAAAAACCGCCTTGAAATCTATTATCAGCCAATGCCTCGTTTGTAAGATCCGGCGCGCTAAGCCAAACATTCCGTTGATGGCACCACTTCCTGACGCGAGACTCTCGTATCGCCAGCGTCCCTTTAGCTATTGCGGCATAGACTATTTTAGGCCATTATTTGTGAAGGTAAAGTGAAGTAGAGAAAAGAGCTGGGGTATTCCATGCACGTGTTTGGCAACTAGGGCCGTGTATTTGGACGTTGCGCACAGCCTGACGACAGGTTTGGCTATTATGGCCCTCCAGCGTCTCGTGGCTGATAGGGGAACACCGGCAATAGTCTACAGCGACAACGGTACTAACTTCCGGGGTGCTTGCGCTGAATTAAGAGAAGAAGTGAACAAACTCAGTCAAGAAAAATTACACGCGTTTGCCCTACGCAACGGAATGGAGTGGCAATTCAATCCCCCGATGCGCCGCATATGGGCGGGGCATGGGAGCGTCTCGTGCGATCGGTAAAGATAGCTCTGGAAGCCAGCCTTGCAAACGAGGTCGTGACGGACGAAATCCTTTGAACAGCGTTAAAAGTAATCGCGCACTCAGTCAACTCTCGCCCTTTGACACACGTGTCTTTTGATCCAGGAGACTGCGAAGCGCTCACCCCAAACCACTTCCTGATCGGCAGCTCATCAGAAGAGTTCAAGTTAGGAAGTTATGACAAGCGACAATTGTGTTCACGCGGGCAATGGCGTATGGCCCAAGCACTAGTGGATGCTTTCTGAAATCGGTGGTTGCGGGAGTATGTTCTCACATTGCAAGCGCGGCAGAAATGGCATGCAAAACCAAGTCCGTAAAAATGAACAATGTGGTGTTAGTCGTAGATATGTAGGCGCCTTGAAACCTGTGGAGAAAGGGCAAAATTGTAAAGCTATATCCGGGAGTGGATGGGGTTGTGCGTGCAGTAATATATAATGGTTCAGGCAAATGAAAAAGATTTTGTGCAACCGGTCCATAAAATTATCAAGTTAATGAGCACTGAAGAAGTACAAAATTGATTAAAATTTTTCACGGGCGTGAGGATTGTAACAGACGAAAATAGGCGTTTAAAGGTTGCGAGTTAAAGGGGCAACGTTACTGTGCACGTCAGAGATAAAACATATGTAATTTTGGCTCACGTATGATGCAATAATTGAATGCAGTCGTGTGGGGAGAAGCAAACAGTAAATATACGACGTGGATGTCAATTTGCCTTTTTTGTGAAGTCATCGAGGCAACTTGTCTTAGGCGCAAGAAGCTCGTGGTCGTCAAGCCACCATTTGTTATCATGGACCTCGATAGGAGCGAAAACTTCCGGTTGTACTAAAGGTTGAAACTAGCGTGCACAGATGCAGGTCTGGGGCCGTTCAGCCTAAAAAGTAGTCTCAATGACACGAAGAATCAAGCTGTGATGTTTCCTTTCATATCAATTGGAACAGTTCTTGAATTTGGCGGTTTGCTCCTTTATTATTGACATACAGTGCCCCAACATCGAAGTTCGCGAGAAACAGGCAAAATGTGGGGTATGGAACTGTGGTAGAATGGAGGGGAGGAACGAGCGTGGCGGCGCAAGGGGCGCGACGCTCGCTCGCTGGAGCGAGCGACAGATGCTTACGGGCTGCGAGCGAATAAAGTGCGTATGGCGTCTAAGAGGCTATGCACTAAATTAGTGTCAGTTTATTTCTTTTTATCAAATAAACTGTGTGTTTCAATTGTCTTTCCTGGTGATTCCTGCTTCCGGCTCGTTCGGTCGTCAACACCAGCCTTTATGTTATTTTTATTGTATTGTGCCATAAAGTATTGTTTATAATCGTGAATTCATTATATATTATTTAAAATGATACCCAATTAACGTAGGTTTACTTATTCCCACGATAATTGTACTACCTTTGTACACAATATTTTTTTGTACAAGGAACTTTTATATTAAAAATAATATTGTTTTCCATTAAATTATATATCATTATAACTCCATACATGGGTTTTAAAACACCCACTGTTCCTTGGTTCTTCAATTATTTTTTTCTCAACTGAATGATAATAATTTTTTTTTTCATTAAATTTAAAATAAGAATTAGATAATCAGATGTAATTAAAATTTTATTCATTTGATACATTAGTCTCAAACTTTTTCGTATTTATTCATTTTTATCTATAAGCTTATTGCCTCCTTGTATGTACTTTGAAAAATTGTAACAGAGCAACCGAATGTATCTAAATTTTTAATATAAACGTTTAAAAATCTTATGCCAAGAATTATAAACTTACAGGAAAATCACCCTGGAAATAAATTAATTATAAGCTATGTATAGTTTTTAGCTGCATGGATAAAAAATTAAAGACCTTTTGACATGTTTTTTGATGAGCTGTTTATTATAGAAAAGTTTTTACTGCAACACAACTTACAGTCGTTAGAGCAAAGTTATGGGTAAAAAGTCACACTTAAAAATAACTTTTCGTTTTGTCAAAAAACTACAAACTAATGAATGATAATAAATCCTGTCTCGACAGGTTGGGACCTTAAAAAATTAAAAATCTTTACATGCTCGTTGTATAATAATTTACGCTACATTATTATACATAATTAATCAGTTAAATGAATTACTTGACATAAGGTTGAAAATTCGAGTTAACAATAACAATATTAGAGTATCTTTTTAATATTCTCTTGTATTTAAAAATAACTTGGGTTAAAACTCTCCTTGTGGTTCCAAAGAAAGCTTTTTAGTTGAAATGTTTTTTACGATGTGCACAATTTGTAGGCCACAAAAATGCTACGCTTCTAAATGATTTGATAAGATAATATCTTGTTAAGGAGTACAAAAGCATTCTATAAAGATGTACAAAACGATAATTTTTTAAGTATTGGCATAACACAGCCATAAATTTTTAATAATATCAGTAATTTTTACATCAAAGAAAACTTTTCACTTAGTTTTGTGCAAAATATCACCAAAGGCAACGCATTAATACCATAAAGAATGTTTTGGAAGCTCTTATAAATGATAAAGTTACTAGCATTGGCCCTATAAACACAAGAAATGAAGTAATTATTTATGATAAAGTCGAAAAAAAAAAATTTTGCTATTGTTTAGTTCACTTGAAAATGGTGGAGAGCATCTAAAAATGAAGTAGTGTTCGTTTAAAATGCTATGTTTAGCAAAAAACATGGGTTCGATTTTAGGTGATTCAATTTTACCAGGAAACAACTACTGGGACATCTTCTTGTATCTAACAAAAACAATCGAAGTTTTCATAAGCCCTATGTTAACAGAAGGCAAGATACAAGGCGCTCTAGAACTTGTGCAGAATACCATCAATCAGTATTCAAAATGTTTTGACACAGTAAAATCTAAAATGACGTTTTAAGCCTTTCATATGATAGCTTTGTTTTAAAATGGTGCAGATTTTTAGTATCAAGCAAAACTTAAGAAAAAAAAGTCGAAAAATCATACAGGTAGCCTTAGCTAAAGTACAAATGTTGCCTCTGCCATAACAATTGTGATAATACATCATTCACAGATGTGTCACAATTTTAAATATTTATTCGATCTTTTTGGTAATACAAAGTCTGGTTTAATAAATATTTTAAATTCCACATCTGTGATATGATCTATTTTATCGAAAATTTTGCCAAAATTTCCAGTACAAGCTTTGCGATTTGTTGAAGTTCTTGGCAAACAATTTTTGAAAGGAAGCACTATTGTCCGACTAATAATATTCAAAAATCCTCAGTTTTCCATCGTTTAAAAAACGTTTTTAAGTAATAAAAAAAACATCTTTTAATACAAAATACTTATGTGGTTTATCTTTTTACGAATATTGTTATGCATGTCACCATACTTGCAATTAAAATAATGCTTTAGCATTATCAAACACCACTAATGTAGTAAAAATATTCATTTAATTTTTTGTTCTCTTGTCAAAATAATATGATTTATGATGTATTCTACAAACGGGAAAAACTCTTTGAATAAATGTTATTTTGTCTCACGTGATAAAAAAAAACTAATATAACAATACACTTATTTCATTTTATTTAAAATCATAACTTATTAATAATATCTATTAAAATCTTAAGTCTGCTTATAAAAATGTTCACTTTAAAGTATTGTACATAATTAAGGGCTCGATTAACTTACTTTAATCAAAAATACAATCTTAAATAAAAATATCATAAATAATCAGCTTTTAAAATTCATAAATAAATATTTAAGAATTATGATGAGCTCTACTATGAAAAAAAGCAAAGTTTACATGCATATAAGCTACTCACAAACATTTATAAAATTTTATAGTAGATAAATTATATAACCACATTTAATTTTTTTCGTGTGTTGACACATGACATCGTGAGGTGAGGGGGACGATCGACGGTCATGGCTGTGGCTGAGGTCCTTGAGTCAGTGATGGAGGCATGAAAACCCTCACATAAGACGAGAAGCGCCTGTGTCCTGGTGACTTTCGACGTTAGAAACGCTTTCAACTCGGCCAAATGGTGTAACATAATGAGGACTTTGAGGCGCCAGAATGAACCAGAGTTTATTTAAAAAGATACTGGATAGCTATCTTTAGGATCGTGTTCTCCAGTACGACACAAAGGATAGACCAAGAGAGAGGCACCTGACGTTGGAAGTCACACAGAGCTCCGCCCTCGGCCCTGACTTATGAAACCTGGTCTACGATGAACTTTTGTGCCTTGAAATGCCTCCGGGAGTCAAGCTAACGAGTTTTGCTGATGACATAGAATTGCATGTCAAAGCAAGATCCCGAGAGGAGGCTGAGCACAAGATTCAGTGGGCGGTCGCGATAGTGTCAAAGTAGCTGCGGGATCACGGTTTTGTACTTGCGATCGACAAGACGAAGATGGTCGTTCTTACTAGGCAAAGGTGGTTTGGGGGGGACTTTTGCATCAACATTGCAGGTGAGGAAATCTGCACAAGTCCGGTTTTGCACTACCTGAGGGTGTGGGTTGACTCACGGCTCACATTCTGAGGGCACATCAAGAGAGCAGCCAACAAAGCCGCCAAGGTTGCGGGAGAGCTTACACGGTTAATGCCGAACGTTGGGGGCCCGTGGAAAGCCAAAAGGTGGCTTCTGGCGTTGGTCTCTAACTCGATACTCCTGTACGGCGTGGAGGTGAAGGCAGATGCGGTTGCGAGACAGGACGTCCCAGATCGTCTCATTTCAGTGCAGCGCTTCACATCTCTCAGGTTCACTTGCACCTACCACACGGTTTCCTATGCTGCTGTTATGGTGATAGCCCAACGATTCCCGTCGTGTTGCTTGCACTGGAGTGGCGAAGAAAATTCCTGAGCTCCAGTAACGAAAGTGATGGCGACAGATGGGAGAAATCATTGACGACGTGGCCTCAGGATTGGGATCGGGCTAGTGTTGGTAGATGGACTCACTGTCTGATCCTGAACCTGCGACCATGGGTGGGAAGACGGCATAGACAGGTAAATTATAACCTCACCCAGTTCCTCTCTGGGCATGGTCAGTTCGATGCCTATCTCCACCGTGTGGCAGTGAAAGCATCCCCCAGATATGTTTACTGCCCTGCGGTGGTTGATACTGTCGAACACACGTTTTTCGTGTGCAAGAGATGGCACCGTGAGTGCCAGCAACTAGTCGATAAGCTCGGCGTGACACCTACTCCTGAAAACGTTATCTCTAAAATGCTTCGCACCAAAGAGTGATGGAGTGCGGTGGATGGTTACGTCAGATCAGTGGTCCGTCACAAGAAGGAAAGAGAGAAAGCCACTGCGTGGGATGCTGAGGCTACCCATTAGGCAGCAGCATAGAAAAGCATCAAATGTTGTAGAGCAAGAGAACGGGTGCTAATTCTCAGGGATCCCGGGTCCTTTTCAGAACTCGAGAGGATTGGTACCTCTAGCAAATATTGGCGAGTATGCTCGTTAATACTGTGAGACGCAATGGTCTCCCTGGTGGCTCAAGCCCGAAGTTGTACAAATGCGACTCGAGGGTGAAACTCAAGCCACGTAGCATGGGGGGGGGGGGTTTAGTGGGTATGAGTTGTCTAACAAAAGAAATCCAGCGAGTCCCACACAATCGCTATACCTGCAGTGTGCCTCAACAGATTTTTCCCTCTCTACCAAAAAAAAGTCTACTTCTACCACTACGATCACTCTTACTGCTCCAACAACTGCGACTTCTACTTCCACTATTCCACTACAACTTCTACTACTACTACTAGTACTACTACTACTACTACTACAACTACTACTACTACTACTTCTTTTACTACTACTCCTATTACTACTACTAATACTACTACTACTACTCCCAGGTGGGGTTTTCGCTAGTATCTCCATACCGGGCGCTTCCCCGGGTGGCGGATAGGGGCATCCTCTTAAAATATGAGGTGATGATGGGCAGCTGGGGTGGCTCTCTGTGGTGGTGGTCGGGGGCGTGGATCAGGGGGCGTGTGTGGCGTTGGCGTGTGTATCTGCGGTGATGTGAACGGGGGACTAGTGCCCCATGCCTCCATCGGTGTGGATGCATGGGCCAGCTCTGCTTGTGCTCCTCGTTCTTCACTTTTTGCTGCTTCCGTGGGTGGCACTCCATTGCTTAATGCGGGCCAACAAAAACTAGCACCCGACATATATAGAAGTAAGCAAAGGTTGAAACATTCTTCTAAGATACATGCATCACACACTCTTACTAAAAACAAACACAGGGCCACTCACGGATTGTTCTGGGTTGCGTGTGGTGGGTCCTTTTCCGAGCATGCGTTGGGGGCCCGGCGACGGGTGAATCCGGATGATGAGGCCCGGGTAAGTCTAGGTAACCACATCTAATATGGCTGTACGCCTAATGAACAAAAAAGACGTGGTGGGCCGACAAATCTAGGCTTAGTACCAATGAGTAGGCTATATGGTGGCACCTTAGTGCCTTACGCCAGCCCGTTCTGTTGGGTTGTCTGCGCGGTCGTGGGACTGTACACCTGCCGCTCGTCTTGGTAGGATGACCATTGTGTACCAATATACGCATACATTACACACGATCACCCTTCTTACACTTGTTACTTAACGCCAGGGCAGTCTCCGCGGGTGGAACTGAGGGAGAGTGGTGATTCCCGGCCAGCCCGAGCAAGTAGCGGCTCTCTCTCTGGTAACAGAGAGGGCTGCTGCCCTGGTTTCAACCCTTTCCAAATACTTATTTCTAGAAATAAAGGGTAGTGCTGGCCTTCGCGGGTCAGTACGATACTCAAAAAGATGCCAAAATGAAAAAAGTTGATGCAAAACTAGTACCCCAGGCGGTAACCTCTCTTAGGTTATCCGCTGGCAGTTCCAATCCGGTGAAAGCCCGGGTGACTGTCGCAGGCCCCACGGATTCTTTGGGGGCTACAAAGACGTGTCTCATGGCCAACAGGGACTGTTAAATTTTCCATGGCCTTTTCTGACAGACAAAGGACGAAGAGGAAGCCTGTCAAGTATAGGCTAAGCTTAGAGTTAAATGATAGCTATTGGCTGATATAGTCCAATTGGCAACGAGAGATATAACAGAGACGTTACCATTAATTAACGATAAGTACGGCAACACAGCGAACGCTGTTAAGAATGGGCTCAAGACCACGCTTAAACACCTTCAAGAGGCAGAGGTGCTAAGAGGAGGCTTCTATTATAAAAAAAAGTGAATGCAAATGCTTAGAAGTCGTCATTTGAATCCCTGCAGTAAAGGGAGCAAAGGCGATATAATTACCGATGGCATATACAGAAAAAAACCCTGAATACGGCCCTAAAAGAAATAGAACGAAGTAAAAAAAACAGGAGCTTATCGGACAGCCCTGAGAAACGCCAGCAGACTATGTCTTAAAAGAAGAAAAAACACAGGTTGTGGCAAACAAGAAGAAATTCCTGTGAATGACAAAACAAGCCAGAAGAAAAAAGTTGACGCCACAACAACAGTAGTAGTGAAGATGGCTGAAGGACAGACCTTTGCAACGGTGCTGAAGACGATGAAGGCGAACTTCGACCCCGATAAGGCTAACGTGGCAGTCCAAAGTGCTGTCACTACAAAAAAAACAAAAAAAGGACACATACTTATTATGACCAAAGGTGTAGAGAATGCTACTGCATTCTCACAGCAAATTAAAAAGTCGTTAGCCGGACAAGGTACTGTCAAAATGAGCAACAGAGAAGTGACTTTAGAGGTCTGAGACCTGGATGCCATTGTAGAGGAAGATGAGGTAAAAACGGCTTTTGCTAGGACTCTTGGACTTAAGAGCCAGGAACCAGAAGTAGCTCTCTTAAAGCCAAATGCCAGAGGACAAAAGCTGGCTTTAATCAAGGTGAATGAAGCAACTGCCAGACAAGTAGAAGAGAAAGGCAGGTTACGAGCTGGCTTCGTAAGCTGCCGAATACGAAGAAGAATTGAAGTAACGAGATGTTACAAATGCCTGGAACACGTCTCAGGCAACTATGGAAAAGGAAGCAGATTAAAGCTTTGCTTCAGGTGTGAAAGCTTAAACCACCAGAAAAAAGAGTGTCCAGGGTCAGCACGGTGTTTCCTTTGCCCAACAACGGAAAACAAGCACGAAGCAGACAGCGAAAGCTGCCTATATTTATATGTAAATTCGACTTTTGAGTTTTAAACAATACTAGCAGCCCCCGTCTTGGCTTTGTCTGAAACTTATTAAATAGAACACCGTTGTGTGTTGACATGTAATGTAAAACGTTTTTAAATAGAAATCTTACATCTATTCCTGACACTTGTCAGATTCAAATTTTTTTTATTAAAAACATACTTGCTTGGAATCTGTAAAGTTTATTTGGTTAAACAATAAGCAGTAAGAATTAAAAAAATAATATTATTATGCAAAAAAGTACCGTGTGCTTCCTATACCATAAAATAATTGTTGACCATAATAAGGCCATTAATTAGCAATTTTTTTCGTATAGTTTACAAAACAGGCTATTTTTCTTAGTCGTTAAGACTTTAAACTCCAAAAAAACAGATATTGAAAAAAAACTTTTTTTCTCTTATTTTACAACTTTATTACTAGAGCAAAACAGTCCGAGAACTTAATCTGAACATTTTTTATTGCCAAAAAAAGTACAAATAAACTTTCTACTTATTTTCAAATCTGGAAGATTTCCAACAACTGCGACTTCTACTTCCACTATTCCACTACAACTTCTACTACTACTACTAGTACTACTACTACTACTACTACAACTACTACTACTACTACTTCTTTTACTACTACTCCTNAAAACAGTCCGAGAACTTAATCTGAACATTTTTTATTGCCAAAAAAAGTACAAATAAACTTTCTACTTATTTTCAAATCTGGAAGATTTAATAAATTACTGTAAGGGAGCTGATTAAAAAGCTAATCTCTATCGCAATAAATTCTTTATTAATTAATTTCGAGGCTGCTGTTTCAATAACGACAAATGTTCTGCGTCAGTTCTTGACGCCTTAAATCGTTTTCATTACATACATTTAAAGTTTTCTTTCGAATTTACCCTTTTGTGACTTTTGGCATTTTTAAGACTTTTGTGACCCCTAAAGGTGTTTTTTACCAACTTTGTTTAGTTCTAATGAATTTTTTGGCAAGGTAGTTCAACGCCCGAATACCCTAAAAAACACCAGTGAGCTTCTTAAGTAAACTCTTTCTTGACTCAAGTTAACAGCAATTGTGACTGCCTGGATACCTCAGGGTCATCTTCTCTGGCCTGCTATCGAAGCCCTAGACTGATCAGGAGAAGAATAACAAAGTCCGTATCTTTGAAGCTAGTTGTAGAGATCTTTTCCAACGTCTCCTAGTATAACGTCGAAGATGTTGGTGTCTAAAGAATCCTTTTTTTGCAGACTCAGTTGTTTTGGTGATATCAAATGTAGGAAATGGTTAGTGATGCTTGCCCGTTAGAGACTGTCCCGTTGCCTCAAGTTTTTTTTTCATAGCTGTTAGGTTCACCTAGAGCAGACCTTACAGAGAATCGGTGATTCCTGATTAATTGCTTCGAGTTTAGAGGGTAATATAAAATCGTCGGTCACTGGGGCTTCCAGCCTTGCGAAGACCAACTCCACTTGTGACGTTTGCCAGTGAATGACTGACTTGGTTTAATAGTGGCCGTCTTTAGTTAACATATTTTTTTTTTCGACGAATTGCTTCCAGAAACGATAGTAAAAATGTATTCGTTGGCAAAGTAGGTTAAGCTTAGGTGGCCCTTGACAGAAGTGATGAAGTTGATGGTGAGGTAGGGAACGTACATACTTGTAATGGCCCTGAAAAGGGCCAATGGTAAAACTTCTAGTTATTCCTTATTATTATTCTTGATGATGGAGAGCCTGCTGATTACTTGACTCTTATCCTTAGAGTCTCTGTGTACAGAGACCATACAGGAGGGAAGTGTGCTGCTGACCAAAGAGAATTTGGTCTTCAGGTCGTTTCTCGGATAACCATCTGATCATTGTTAGTCGGAAAAGTGGGCCTAAAGAATACCTTCTCTGTTGGTATGCCGTTTGAACGACTACTGACAAAGAATCCGTTAGGGCTGTCTGTGCTCCTAAGGGCTGCCTTTCCTGGCTTAAATGAGTTGTATAAATTTTCTGATGGCACAAAGCTGGATGGTGAAACGGCGGTTTTATGTCGACGCCACCTAGTGGATCGTACTGAGCTAATGTGAAAAGCTGGCGTATTTTAACAAAACTTTGAGCTTGTTTGTTG